TTTGTCGATAATAATTTAAATTTATATGTGGCTGACAATTTTAACAATCGAATTCAAAAGTTCACATCAGGACAATTAAATGGAACAACAGTACCAACAGGAACTATCACACTTTTTCATCCAACTGGAATTGTTCTTGATTTTGATGGATATCTTTTTATTGTTGATCAGAGTAACGCTCGCCTCATCGGTTCAGGACCTTATGGATATCGATGTATAGCAGCATGTTCTGGAAGTTATGGCTCATCATCTAGTCAATTATATTATCCATACTCACTTAGTTTTGATAGTTATGGAAATATATTTGTTAGCGATTTATTTAACAATCGAATTCAAAAATTTTTCTTGATGACAAATGGATGTAGTAAGTGAAAATAAATTCCATTTATTTTACTAATTAAAATTATGTCTTTGTTTTAATAGATGGAACAACAACAATGTCTAGTGGTATTTTCTTATTAATTTTATTTTACTGAGAAGTTAGATTTGTTTTTTTTATAGTAATATCAATGAATAGTACGCAATCAGCTCCTTTATTAACATCTACTTACGAAACAAATTCTACAACTGTATCTTCTGCGACAGGTATGCTGTTTATGAAATATTTTTTTGGAAATTTTATTCAGATTTTTTCATATGAAATTTAATTAATTTATCATACTTGTCAGTGTACTGTTCGTTAAGTAAGCAAATCTAACTACAGAAAGTGAGAACAATATTAGTCGATAGCATCTGGCTAGTATAGTAGAAATGAATGGAACACATCAAACAGTACCACCACTTTCCGATAAATACTCGAAATTTTCAGTACAGTTTTCCAATAAAATCTATCGCCTATAACTATCATAGAAAGAATACCCAAGCAAAATAATTTCATTATAGTATATTATTGTTCAGTTAAATAGTAATTAGGCAAATGCTGAAGGTACACGAAATAATTAATTTATTAAGAATTAAAAGAATCTTTGTTAAATATATTTTTGTAGGTCTTTCATACAACCGGCCAACATTCAGTGCTTATGCTACTTGGAGCGCTAATGGAGTAACTGTTTTCGACAGCGGTTCCGGATTTGTATACGGTATATTTATTAATACTAACAATACTTTTTATATAAGTGAATGGACTCAAAATATGATTCAAGTATGGCTTGAAAATAGTACCATACCTATAAGGAATATTAGTGGTGGTTTATCCTTACCTTATACTATATTTGTTACAGTCAACGGTGATATTTACGTTGATAATGGTTATTCAAATAGTCAAGTAGATAAATGGACAGTAAATTCAACGATTGGTGTTTCAGTAATGAATGTCAAAGCCGCATGTTGGGGTCTTTTTGTTGATATTTATAATAATATTTATTGTTCACAAAATGCATATAATCAAGTTATCATAAAATCATTAAATAGTAATTCAAATATGTGGATAGTTGCTGCTGGCGCAGACTGTTCTGCGCCAAGTACGAATACACTTAATGGTCCTCGTGGAATCTACGTTGATACAGATTTGAGTTTATATGTTGCTGATTGCGGCAACGATCGAATTCAATTATTTTTATCAACACAATTAATTGGAAAAACGGTTGCAACAGGAACTATTGCTCTAAATTGTCCTAGTGGAGTTACTCTTGATGCTAATGGTTATCTATTTATTACGGATAATTCCAATCAACGTATTATTGGTTCAGGACCAAATGGATATCGTTGTCTAGTAGGATGTACACAAGTTATCGGTTCGGCATCTAATCAACTTTATTATCCAACTGTTATGTCTTTTGATACTCATGGAAATATGTTTATTGCTGATGACTACAATCATCGAGTTCAAAAATTTTATTTAACAACCAATATTTATAGTAAGTAAATTAGGATATTTTTTTACAAGATTTAATAACTAAAATAAAATCCAATCGAAGAGTTGCTGTAAAAGACACGACAGTGAAATTGATTCTGATTATATTAAACTATCCTACTCTCTTGAGATCTTTATAAGATTGAACATAAGATTAATATTTTTTGTATTAGAAAATATTTAACTTGATGAACATGTTTGAAGAATAACTTCAATGACTTTTAATTTATTTGTATTTTTAGGTACAACTATCAATCAACCAAACTTCTGTCCATCTACAACATGGTATATAAATGCAACTACATTTGCTAATAGTAGTACGGCTGGAACTTACGTATATGGTATTTTTGTTAGTATTAATAATACTGTTTATGTAGCTAATCAACAAACTAATACGATTCTAGTATGGTATGAAGGAAGTATTAATCCAGATAAAATTATTTCTGGTAGTCTGAGCACACCATATACTCTTTTCGCTACTCCTTTAGGTGATATATATGTTGATAATGGTGTAAACAATCATCGAATTGATAAATTTTCATTCAACTCAAATATAAGTACTTCTGTAATGTCAGTTCCTAATTTGTGTGCTGGTATTTTTGTTGATATTAGTAATACTCTTTATTGTTCAGCGTATACTTCTCATCAAATTGTTAAGAAATGGTTGAATGATAGTGTACTCACATCAACTATCGTTGCTGGCAACGGTACAACTGGATCAACAGCGACTACACTTAATACACCTATTGGAATTTTTGTCGATGCTCAAGTTAATTTATATGTTGCAGATTGCCTTAACAATAGAATACAAATGTTTCCTCTTGGACAATTAACTGGAATAACTTTAGCCGGAGCTAGTGTACCAGGAACTATTATACTTAATCAACCAAATGGTATTACATTAGATAGTAATGGATATCTTTTCATTGCGGATACTGCTA